TGGGAAAAAACATGGACTGGGTGAAGGGAAACAGACAGGTCTCCCCTTGCTTTAGTACTACAGAGTCACTCACAATCACCCAAGACACCTAACAGTATACCATTAACTGTTATAGCTCAAACTGTATAAACCCGGTCTTCCAGATGTGATTCTGGTAGCCTACTATCCTCTTTCAAATATTCACAGGGGACTTTTATATTAATAAAAAATGCATATGCTCAATGTACTTATTTACTTGTAAAATAAACTAAGGGGAAAATAGACATTGGTTTCAATTCTAAATTTGAGACATAACTCATCTACAGACATAAACCCAATTCTATTAGGATTTTAATATTAGAGTTACAACCAACAGGAAACAAAGTGTGCCCACACAGGGCTAAAATACTTGTTTTCCAAGAGTGAGGCACACAGACAGCACTGTGCAGCGATGTAAGACTGGTAAATTATAAACTTGCAATGTGTATTTGATATGGTATCCCCCAACTCTACCCCACACCCCTTAGTACAACAAGAAACTGAAACATTAAAACAAAGTGGTTGCACAATTATCCCCCACACGACTGCCGGCCAATTTGGAAAATGATTACTGACACTTACAAACACCGGAAGATTTAAAACCAAATACATTTTGCCAAAACAACAACCGCTGATGTTTGTTATGGTAGACAAAGTGGGCTGGCAAGTCACACATTACTCCAAGCGTGATTTGCCTCTGGTGAGAACAGGCCCTCACTTCACAGCTCACCTCCGGTCTCCATGTTGACACTATTATAGGAGATTATGGGCACCATTTGTCACGAAGACCAGACTGCTGCTGAAATCACAACAGCATGAAGTGTGAGATCCATCACAGTAACTGGCATACAGTAAAAGCAACAGAAGACTTTTTTTTTTTTTTGCAATTCTGATCAACACAGTTACTGTGATGCTCTTGCAGCAGCTCTTCTTTTCTGCCTGCCCTCCCTGTTCTTTTTTTTACAGATGGATATCTAAAGAACATCCCATGTTTGCGTGTGGTTGTTGTTTAATGTATAATAATTTTTATAGGTCTCACAGCGGGTCAAGAAAGACAAATCTGTATGTCATAACTGGCTTTTTAGTCTGTATCTGTGAAATCTAAGCAATGAAAAGCATGCAGATGCAGTAGCCTCATGTAAGAGGGCTTTTCATTGCTATGAACCCCTTTAGGAAATATGCTTCTTAAGTATCTTGCTGACAGTTAAATAAGAAAGTTGATACCACTTTCATGACTATCTGTTAAATATGAACCTTGCTGGTTAGCATAGCTTAGCATAAAAATTGGAAAAAGGGGAAGCAGCTAGCCTAGCTTTGTCCTATAAAGATCATTATTCAACACATTATAATCTTATTAGTTTAATCAGTAAAAGAAAAGAAAAATAATAATAAAGGGTGCTGTTTTACAGGAGATGCTAACTGGTTTGACCTTTATATTTCTCAGCCAACTCATGGTCACATTTCCTGTAATGTTAAAATAGTGCTTTATATGTAGTCAACACTGTTTATTACTACAAAAAAACCCTCCTACACTACATGACCACACCATTTCCTGTCAACACTTTCAGTTACAAATGCGAGATGTCTGCATTTTTTTGTCTGTTTTTCTCACTGGTTTGAAGTGGGTGGGACACAGACAAAGGTTCTCTTTGCTCCATTCAGGTTTTAGCAACAGTTGAATCAAAAGCTACAGCACATCTATATTTATAATACAAATTTTTGTATTACAAACTCCTAACATTTGAAACCATGTATTGGGCTGCAGGCTCTGAGTTTGTGATGGATGTTATGTCAGTGATGTTTGGCTTTTAAACTTTTATAAAAAAAAAAAAAAGGTATTATACCAGTTTTAAAATTTCTCAGAAGAATTTTAAAAATGCCCAGGAAATTATAATTCTGAAGGACTGAAGCAGGGGAATGTATTACAACCAGGAACAGGACAGCAAGTTGGGACTCTACACATACACACTGCAGCAGCAACCACCCACACATACCCACAAATCCGCATTCCAGCAAAGACATTTTCCATTAGTTAATCTTTCTACAGGGATACATATAAAGAAGATGTCATTCAGTGCATTATTTTGATCACCCAAATCAGAAGCAGAGCCAACTGTTGAGAGGATTAGTCCTCTGAACAGAACCAAATCATGAGCGCAAGTGGAAGATATCTTGGAAGGGGGCCAAAGCGTAGCAGTGAGGGGCATTCTGCTCATAACTGGGGAAGCGACCTCATTTTCTGAATAAAAGCCAGTTTACATAACACCTCTGTCCCCATGACAAGGAGTGCTGGGCAGCTGCTGGCAGGCCTGTGGCTTTCACTCAAGAGTTCCCTGAAAAATATTTCTTTCAGTACAGCCACAAGCCTCGTCTGTGTGTTTTCAACATTAGCATGTTCTAACTGAAAAGTCTTAAATCAAGTGTTGCATAAACACTGGTAGCCTCAAGAATTTATCTAACTCAGTCTCATACAATCAAGAAATGGATACACTAACCATCAGCCAAGAGATAAATCCACCAGTAAATCTTTGACTCAGTCTCCTTCACCTGCAGGAAAGTCAACTTTGGGTGAGGAAGGTTTAAAGCACATGATATGATTTTTTTTTTTAATCACAAAAGCTCAGTTTCTCACTTCAAATCAAATATAACTCAAGTGTATGGTATATGATACAAATAAACTGATTTGGTAAACACTAGTTATACAGCTAACACATCTGAGCCTAAGAACAGTGCAACAGTGTAGGTGCATAATGTGTTTTTAACAAAAATGTTAAATAATGCTATGGCTACCCAGATGGTATTACTAGTATCATGTCTGTTATTTTTAGTCTTTTGATTAACTTTTTACCTAGCAGCAAACAGCACAGTCAAACACTTTGAGATGAAGTAGAAGAGGAAGACTGTACATGTCATTAGAATGTGAAACATCCTGAACCAGGATGGCAAACTTAGCAGCGCTCTGAGAAGCAGGAGCCTCTTTTTTCATTGGCAAAGTGCCTCTGGAGAGGGCAAACTACTAGGGACACATTTATCCCCAAATGCATTCCTGTGCAGGCAGATACCAAAACCTCCATGGGCACACTGAGCACTGCACCTTGTCAGTAATAATAATGTAGGACAATGTTATGAAAATATTGTTTAGAAAATGATACAGGTTTTGGCTAATATGTAATCACTTTTAACATTAAATTTAACATTTTCTATTGCCAGATTTGTGTCACATCTGTTATTTGGGTCTTCAGCTGGTTAAGGAAGGCTGAGTTATCCTTGGCTAGATATGCAACAAAAGGTGATAGAGCAACAGTGTAAGTGATGTAGCACAAATGGAAGGTAAATTTATGGAGAGAAAACCCAGGAGAGACTAAATAACTGAGATGGTGTTGAGCTGTGTAGGTGAGGCTGTTTGGAGACTTGGCTACTTTTTGAGTTACTGTTGGTAGTTTAACAAACATCTGATATATAAACCAGAAGGCAGCTGAATGTGACTTTGACATCCACCACTGAATGCTTACATCTAGTGCAAAATAAAGCAGCATTTTAGCGTTTTCATTTTAAACTGGTGAAGATGTACCAAATAACAGAAAAAAGTTACATGCTGCATGATAAACCATGACCCAAAATTCCCATTGGAATTGTCAAAAGATGATGTAATTCTCAAACGTTTTAATTTGGAGCTGTCCAGATATTTCATCAATACACAGGCCTTTCACAGACCTCCTGAGACAAGTCATCATGTCATAAAGCAAGTCAACGCATTTTAATCTCACATCTGCTACTCATTACCATTCAGAAACACAGGACTGGGGTTAGGCTATTGCACCTCACCCAGGGAGGAGGAGAGAGGAAACGGCAGCAGAGAGACTAAGAGAGAAGGGAGATTATTAGGCACCATGAGTCTAATAAACAAACAATAAATAACTTGCAAAAAACTTCCACAATGCTGAGTGAAAGTGTCATTGCAATTGTCTCATGAAATTATATCACATTCAGGCTGGAGTCTTTACAAGGTGAATGATGGCAGCTCCACCGCAGCAATTTCACAATCTAGTATTTTTTTCAACTCCTACAAAATTCATAAAATGTCACCTCATTTACTGCACATGAACTCATAAGCACACAACTTCTCTTATTTACATGAAGTTCTTAAGTAATTGCACACCCTCGTCTTTAGTCAAGCTTCCAACCAGGGCCTTACTCTTAAAAGAGACATTTTTGCCAAGACCTAATTTAAAGTAAATTGGCAGAGATCATTCGGCACTTAAAATTCTCATGGTGCTTTCCAAGATGAGTTTAGATTTTAGGAAATGATAACAGCTGGGCCCCAATTAGTTACACCTTAATGCGCTGTAGCCTCCATGCTAGACCTTGAGGTAGATTTACAACAGCACCTCGCAAACATTCTTGTATCGTAACAGACTGAGTCAGTGGGAAACTGGAAAGCAGAGGAATGCAACTGTTGTGGATTTATATAATATCTTGCGTGAGACAAAATGTTGTTCATGGCTTTTTATTTCCTGAAAAAAAAAAAAAATTCTAACAGCTAACATGATGATCCAGTGCTAGTACAGACAGTTTCACCTTTGATCCTTGAACTACCCTGACAAGTTTACTTATCATGGTTATAACATAGTGTAATGCTGCAGCAGTTAAGATGCACACAAGCACACATATACACACACTCGCACACATGACTACAGAAGACAGAGGCCAGCCTGTTTAACAAGTAGGTCAGACCAGTGCTAAAGAGAGAGAGGGAGAGAAGCATTGACTGGAGCAAGCACAACTTTTAGTGCCACCATTGGCTTGTATGAACCAAACGAAAAGACGCTGAGGGTGTCTAGAGTCACAAAGCTATTAAAATACAAAACATGACATTAGTAATTAAGTAACTGAAAGGCATATATACCTACCAGAAGTGATTTTCAATTATTTGTTATATCTGAAAATGTTATTATATAATATACGTGTGTCATTAGCCTCACCTGTGGGCAGTCTTTGATGTAATGGCCCTTGTTGAAGCACAGGTGGCACAGGTAGTTGGGTGGGGGTCTTTTGTTGGGTTTTCTTGGTTCTGAAGAAAGTGAAAGGTCTGAGAAATGGTCCGTCAGGGAATTGAGTCCATCCACAATGTTGTTCAGGGAGCCATAGGGTGACACATTCTTATACAGGTTGTTGTTTAAGGCCTATAAAATAACATCAGACAAACTTTAACATGAAGTTCTTTAGATTCTTTGTCAAAAAGTTGTCAAATATATATTGTACTTAAGGTAAATAACAACCTTGGGACACATTCATACTCAATTCACACACAATTCTCAACTGTCAAAGTTTTATAAAGTGTGATTTCTTCACAGACAGTATTCTGGACATACTACATGTCCACATATAAGACATCACATAAAAAAATTATATTTCTGCTTTGAGATTAATCACCAATTTCCTTTACATGCTTTCTGTTCTATTTTCTGTTGCATAAAAGTGAAAAAACCCATGCAAGATCATTTCTCTCATTATATTCAGAACATCTGGCGGCAGGCCCAGCTGCACTCATGAGCTGGAAAAGTACTGAGCATGTCCACAGAGAAAGACAGGACTTTACAGAGGATGACTGATTGTAAACAAGATGGGAGGCATGTTCCCTCGCCAGCCTGTGGAACATCAGCAATGTCACCATGCACTGTTGGTGGTAAACTAGCCATGGCCAGTGTTTGTAGTCTGCTTGGAGCCACAGAACACAGCGTAGCATGCCACAGTGAATTCATAGAAGATGCTCTTTGAATATTAATAACAGGGAAAGTATTGCCTGCAGCTACTTATTTCCTTTCTCATTCATGTATTTGTCTGTTTGAGTACAATCTAGAAATGACAGACAGAAATTGACCTCTGGGTGAAATGCTGCTGATTTTAAATGCTTTTATTTTCACATAGTCAGGTAAATAACTCGTGTGAGTTAGTTGCTCACTAATCATCTGTCTTATCATTTAACAGTTTATCATCACTGACAGTCATGCCTCTTTTTAGGACACCTGTGATTTTTATTGTTGTGCAGGACATAAACCTTAGATTTGGCAACCTTACAAAAACTGAAAGCCAAATCTTTATCTCCAGGCTGTAAGACTGTCTTGCAAAACAGCTCCAGCTTTAAGACTCATGTTCATTTGTGTAGTGATCATAAATCAACCAGTAAGGCTCTGTAGTTTGTAAAGTTTTCCATCTGTCATGTGTTTTAGTTCTGTGTATTACTGCGATATGTATTATCAGTCCTTGCAGAAATGTACGTGTATGTGTATTTTCCAAACTTAGAAATCTGTGCAAATTGTTACATTATTTTAACAAATATAAAGGAAGAAACTTTACTCACTTTATGTTCTTCCCATTTCTTTCAGTTTGGCTTCCAACCTTCTAGTGTCAGCCCAAAGGAAACAGATTTCACACACATCTGCTAATGGTGGGGTGAGACTGTTTGTTTATTTTGTGTGTCTGTGTGTGAGCATGAGTGTGAGTGAGCGAGTGAGAGAGTCAGCAGGAGGTTGTGTGTGGCAGTAGTTTGTGTATGTATGCATTGGCCAACACAACGGGGACTAAACTGGCATCATTATCAGTACCAGTCACACGTGTCCATGTGAGGTGGCAGCAGATCCGTGACTGTTTTCACAGGTCCAGGAATGAGGCGTCACTCTGCAGGGCGCAAGCACACACTGATGTGTTTAAACCAGGGCTGTGTTATCTTGTGGAAACTTTAGATGTGACTGATTTAATGTAGAATAAATTCCTCAAAAAATTGCTGTATGGTTAAATTAATCCAGAATGGTTCTAGATCTTCAAATGTCACATTGCAGTGTTTGTGTTCTTGGACCGAACTAGGTAATAAGGGAGAAAAAGCTGTGTGCAAATGAGAATGTTGTTCATCTACTTGTGCGACAATATCAGTTCCCAAACAAAACAAATTCTTTTATCGCTGTTTTACTTTAGGTGGGCTATTTTGTGATCCTTCATGGCAAAAACAACCACATTTTGCATTACTCATCTCATCATCAAATCCCTGCAGTGGTTTATTTTACTTGGCTTAGCTTGCCATGGTACATTACAAAATGCCTCCCTCCTCAATCCAAACCATTTCCAGGCTGTATTTGTGTTGCCTCCGTTTGAAACACATTATAGTCATGCAGATTGAACAGCATTACAAAATTGAGTGCAATGTATAATGTGCACACCCAGTTTCCACCAGAGTCACCCAGAGTCTGTTTCATGTTAAATGACTTCAAAAAGCCTCTATGGTTACCAACATAATAATGGACACTGGCTCTAGATGGCGACTACACCATCCATCCACGTCTAGTGTTTCCCAGAGTTTCCAATACATAGCGTCATAGTAACATAGATCTAAGAAATTCAACTGTGGTGTAATCAACACACTTGGAAGCATGCAGTATATTCTTTACACTACCATTTAGCCCACAGTATACAATTATTTTTGTGTGTGCTGATTGGGTGAGGTTGAGCTCTTTTGCACAGTATGGCCTGCAGTATCAGGTTTGCACCCTGCACACATTATCAGCATGTCTGTCCCTAAAATTACACTCATCTCCAAAAATAGACAATATGTAAACAGGGACTGATTTTGTTTGCACAACCTGGTCTATTTGAAGAAGTCAGAGACAGCAGACATCAGCAAGAGGCTGCAGTGTCCTGCTCTTTCCAGACAGAGGTGTGCAGGGTGAATCTAATTCCATCAGTCCCCCTTTACCTCTCAGATCAGTAGCATGCCTGGTTAAAACATATTTTTGCTCAGCAGTAACACCTTTAATGTGAACCATTACACAACAGTATGCTGCAAACAGTCTTATTAATCTCAAATTATTTTATGACATTATAGGGTCAGGGAATTAACTTGTCCTAACAAAGTTAATTTAGTTACTTACTTATCCTTTAATTAAACCCCGGTGGCCAGCGGCCAACACAATACATTTATGTGGAATCAAAAGCACAGTTAATTCTTTTGGAAGTGATATTTCCATCAGCCTATATCACAGTCTTGTGTTAGTCTATATAAAGTATGATAGCTGGCCTCTTACATATATTGTTTAGAAATAATGTTTTCAACAAATTCAAAATAGAATACTAATATCATACTAAAACGTTTTTATAGTGTCGATATTTGAAGTTAATGTCCATATTGGAAATATCATGGATATTAGGCTATGTGTATCCTACCAGAACAGCCCATCCGGTACATGCTAGAACATTTGCTGCACAGGCATGTAACAGTAAACATCATCCAATTCTATATATCACTCATTTCAACCCCAGTCTTGCATCTGAAACAGCACAGATAGGCTCTGAATGCGGCATGCCGTCTTTCACCTCATTCCGCTGCAGCTGAAAGAAGTTGTTGAGATAGTTGGAGTTCAAGGAAGAGCTCAAGTCCGCCGCTGCGGGAGTCTTGCTCAAACTGAGATCCGGGTGGGAAGAGTTGGGTTCGGGTCTGAATGCGTCAAATGCGCTGGTCTGGTGGGGGTCTTGTAAGGAGAGATAGACCCAGTTGAGAAGTTGCGCAGGCTGGTACACGGAGGCACTCGTGTCTATGGCAGACAATAAGCTCATCTTTCAATTCAAATGGCTTAACTGGATTTTTCACCGTTGATTCTTGGACTAGTCTCAACTCTTCTTGCCCTCTTGCTTTTTCGTTCCCCGGCAGATGGTAAGAGCTCCTTTTTTTTATTCCCGTAAAGGGCCCTGTCCTCCTCACGCCGGGAGCTCGTCCCAATTTAATGTTACTCAAAAGTCATTGCGCTAACATGTCAGTATAAAAAGTTTTCCCCTGCTCCCCATGGTCCGCTATCTGCCTTTATTGCAACGGGGCAGAGTGAGGCTCTTTGAATATGTAATGAGGATGGCTTTGCGTCACCGAGTGCGTTGACCAATCATATTCATTGATAGTCTAATGAGACAAATGTTTCAACCCACATCGGTTACTAAATTAAATCAGTTTAATAGACTCTGTATGAGCCATATGATGATGTTTATTACTTTATCATTAATCAAGCTTGTTTGGTCAGTAGGTGTGGACTATATGTTGTGTGGAAAAAAAATTAATTTTAAGCTGTTAGTGTGAGGATATTTTACAGCCCTCAAATCTTCATGTAATTAAGGGCACAGACTTGGTTTAAGGTTAAAATGCTGTTTAGGTTAGGTTAGGTTTACGTTAGGGTAGGTTATGGGTTGGGGTGACGTATTTAGTTGTGATAGTTAAAGTTAAGGTAAGGAATGCATTAGGTCAATATAGCTTTAGAAAGACCAACATGCAGACCCTGTGTGTGTGTGTGTGTGTGGATAGTGGGTGTGGGTGGGTTGTTATAGATGTTTTGTTTATTCAGGAACAGAGATGAGCAGTTGCATTGACTAATCTTTGGAGTGTGCCTGTGACTCATGTTAATGTAGTTTACTACATTGGTTTGGCCTCTCTGATCATTAAGTCAACAGGTATCTACATCATGTCAAATACATAATGTCAAATACAGTCACTATTCAGCCTTCATATATGCAACAAGAAAAAGGTTGTCTCACAGATGAATAAGCACCATTAGAAAAGATCAAATGAATCAAATTAGTTAATTAATCAATAAAACCAGCACCTCAGCACTCTCAGTCTACTCCACTGAGCATGTCCCAGTCTGCAAAGGTGGCAGGCAGAACCAGTGTGGTATGGAGAAAACCTTAAAAAGAGCTCCCTCTGGTGGCAGATGTCCTACACACATACACTGCAGTTTTGACATAAAACATAATGAATATATGTAGTCTGCTTCTTCTAAAGGTGAGCTGGAGGTTGGCATTTACTTCCTGTGACCACCATCAGTCACAGTCAGAAAAAAAGATGAAATTATATTTTGGTCACTTGATTGTTAATATAAATTTGTATATATTCAACTGTAATATAATGTAGGCCTGCTGATTACAATGGAGCCTAGTTCGTGCACTTTAATCGGATTGCTAAGAGTTAGTAAATACGTCTGTGTGTCAGTAAACAAAAAATTAATTAGGCGACTTGTATATTATGGCCTGTTATACAAACACCTATTGTGAAATATTAGGTGACTGGTCTGTCACGCATCTCTGGGCTATTCTATGCCTAGTGTTTGCGTGGTGCGATGGCTTGTCATTGCTCCTTTGCAAATGGGTGGGTTCCTTAAAATGGAAACTATGAGTCCCACCCACATTGGTTAAATATACTCAGTACAGTGACTGTTCAAAGTAACACGTCCATCAGGAAGAGACAGCAAAACGACGAAAGTAAGTGTTAATATCCAACAACCACGCAAACGAGAGTTGATAGGATAATGAACGACACATTAGCACTTTTTATAAGTTATAAAAGTAAGTGGCAACTGCTTTTGGAGTCGTTTTGTGGGGTAGTTTCGACGTTGACCTTAACCTAGCGCTGTTATTACTGATTTTCCGGTGCCTTTAGCTCAACCATCTAAAGCTACAAAATGGTCGTAGCTTCACTTTGCGGCTGGAATTGTGTTCATTTATTTATGAATAACAAGCTAAAGCATTCGTAACGTACAGGCCTGAAGCAACTTTTGCTCGCGTTTTAAGCTAGCTGTTAGCTAAATGTTTGTTTTCCATTGACTAGCATTAGCATAGTGTTAAACTCAGTTATTAATGTTACTCGCTAGCCAGTAAAGATTAATTAATAACGAATTCGCTCAGTCTAGCAGCGGAAATAAGGTTTAAGGTGAGTAGACTGGCACACCTAGCACACCCGAGTTAACAAAAAGATAAGGGAAAAGATAATCCTATTCCAGGAATTGTATGGGATGGTAACATTAATGTTAGTTACAACCAGTTTGACCTGTGTTGTAACATCGTGGGAGGTTATATTTACCATACATTCGTGTTTAGTTTTTTCTTGTCCTAAAAGCAAGTATATGATTGTGCATCGGTTCGTGTCTGTTTATTGTGGTTTTGTCAGGTCACAGTTTAAAGTGTGAAAGCGGAAGATGTCTGCACCTGAACAGAAATTAAATGTGATAAGTGTGAACCCCAGGCATTTAACAGACGAACCACATTTGCTCAGGCCAAAAGTGTTAGGCTAAAACTTAAAGGATTTCTTTTAATTCTAACCCGGTTCTTTAATCTGAAGGCCCCAAGAAGTAACACTCAGGATACAGAAATCAGCTTTAAGTAGATTTATTTTCTTCTGGTTAGATGCAGAGTTATTACAGCGCTGGGCTCTGAGAGATGACAAGTCTCCAAGAGCTCACTTACTTCCCCAATTCTGTTGCAAAAAACCCCTTACACATAGTTCAGACATGGGTGAAAGGTTCAAGCTGCTATACTTCCACGTCTGTAAAATAGCATACATTAACACTGTCTTATCAGGACACTTATCTATGCAATCTGCTCTTGCACCACCATCTAAGAAAATAAGAAACACTACAAGTTGAACTACAGCTGAAAATTATAACTTTTATGCGAGTATAATAGTAAGGTTAATACTGATACATGGGATTGCTAATAAAACATAAACAGTCATAATAAACTTTATCATTATAAATGCAAAATAATACTAACAGTAAATAAAACAACTGCAACTCCTGAAATCCAATTCTAACATTTCACAACAGCACATTATCTTAGCATCAGTGCAACTGACATGCATTTTATCAGCAGCATGGGGAGGAAGTGTATGAGAGGTTCACAGTTAAACCAAGTCATTGTAGTAACTCTTGACTATGCACATATAAGTAGTGTATAAAATATCCCTGTATACACTGGATGTAAATGATTCTATCTCGTTTGATCTCTGTGTTTCATATGGTAGCTCATTTGCCTTGTTTGCTTTTTCAAACACAGTGTCTTTTTAATGTGTCCATAAAATGCAAATCACTTATTGTAAGTTCCCTGGCGTCAGTTTTACCATGGAGCAAGTAAGCCTGCTGGAAAAAATGCTTTTCATACTAAGCGTAACCAAACTGAATTTTTCTTTTCCTCACCATCCCACCTAAAAATGCTTGCAATCCAACATCCCTGGAATGAAGAGTTTGCACTCTAGTGCATAGGTTGTGACAATAACATTTAAGTGGCTCCATTAAAAAAACATAGTCTGTGGTGAAAATATTACAAACTCCCTTCAGTGTAGGAAAAGAATTAAACCAGCAGAAATGATAAATAGGTCCTGCTGACCTGGGTCTAACACAGAGTAAAAAAAAATTTACGGGCAGGTTTATAGCTAGGTGTGTTTTCAACTCTCTTGTTGCTCTTGGTACCAAGAACCTTGTAGTGTTCTTTCTTTTAGTTGTGCTTTATCAACAGAAAAGACAATTTAGGTGGCAGCATAAGATGATTATTACATTTTTAGTAGCATAGTCATGTTTGGCAGCCCTTTGATTGATAGTTCTGTTTTATGTTTAGAGCCATGAGCTTCCCTGGATACCCCCCTCAGGCAGGTGGATACCCTCCACAGTCTGGTGCTTACCCTCCTCAGGCAGGTGGCTACCCTCCTCAACCTGGTGGCTATCCACCACAGGCAGGGGGGTACCCCCCCCAAACCCGGGGGTGGGGGCTATCCACCACAAGCAGGTGGCTACCCACAGGTACCACAAGGTAAGCCATCACACAACATTATAAAAGGAGTAGTTTGATGTTAGCTAGCTGGAAAGTGAGAGGAAGTAGGTTCCAGTAAGAGGCATCATTTCTGTCTCAGTCTACTGTTCTTAATTCTTTCAGGCATTGAATGAAACAGTGCACCCTCAACTTTCTTGAACATTTTTTTCTCCAGGCAGCTGGGGTGGTGGCTCTCTTGGTGGTTATCCCTCCATTGGTCTTGACAGCTTATCCAACCTTGGATACAATGCTGGCATGGTACGTGTAGCTTCAAAAATCACCTCCACCCAGGAAACTCTTAATATATGTGTAATGCATGATCATCAGATTATTGGATTGAATATTCCACTTGGATTAAATTACACAGCTGTTAATGAAACATCACATAGTTTCATTTTACATTAATGTTTTGAAAAGTCTACATCATAAATTTCCTGCTTTGCCATTTCATTGTCAACGTTTTCATGTTTTCTTGCCTGAGAAAAATGGGCATATACTTCATTCTTATCCATTCTTCTGAAACCTGTCATCAGGCTGATGCAGCTTCAACTTCTTTTTTACTTTTCTGATTCCTTTTCTTATCTGTGATGTATTTCTGTTATCAAGTATCTGACTTTCCCTTTTGAGAAATGGCATGGCCACATCTATTTTTGGCTAGACTACTTGTACATTATGTAACTAGCAGAACTTCAAAACATCAGGGATATTTACTTGAAAATGTGAAATATTGATATAATTGGACATTTAAAAATGTATTAAATCATTTTAAACTAACTAAATAAATCCAAAGCTTATCCATCTAAAGGTGTGACCAGCTATCTGTGCTTTGCATAAAATAAAGGATCTGTGCACATACTATGGGATGCTAATCTTTCCAAATTACAGGCCAGCCAGATCTCTGCAGGCATAGGGGGTTTATCTCTAAACCCATCCATTTTCACTCAGCCCCCTGGGGATGCCCCTCCGCCTGGTGGGCATGGTGTACCCTCCCCTAACCAACAGTCATATGGCTTGTACCCACAGCCAGGAGGGACTATGCCACAAACTCAAGGCCCAGGGATGGGCTATCCTGGACAGCCTGGTTACCCTGGACAGGCTGGTCAGCCTGGTTACCCTGGTCAGCCTGGACAGCCTGGTTACCCTGGACAGGCTGGACAGCCTGGTTTCCCTGGTCAGGCTGGACAGCCTGGTTTCCCTGGACAGGCTGGT